ACTAAGTTTTGTTCAAGCAGTTGAGTAGTATTTTTGTGTATACTATTTATGTTGACAGATATAGGTAGTTTTCGTTCACTACTTTATTATCAACTTTCATAAAAATATCGGAAGACCAAGTAAATGAGTCTATACTTGGTAAATGTTCATATTGGATCCTCTAGAAAAATCACTTATTAGTTATTTTGTGATTTTGAATTTTCATTTCTTCCCAATATTTCATTACGGTAACCATCATTCATTTTTTTTACTAATAATTAAAGACACTATGTGTGGCTATTTCGGTATGTTGATTGCTTGCTTTTAACAACATGGTGAAATCCGTAAATGAACTGCTATAGTATCTGCAGTCTCTACTCCACAGCAAAGTTAATTCCTTTTGTTTATTCTATGGAAACCATCTACTTATTGCTTACACATTTATTTTATGGTATGTTCACTACACTACTCTACTTGTAGCTGATTTTTTTTATTGGGGCTTAAAATAAGAATGTCTAATTCTGGTCAAATAGTTCTGTAGTCTTGGGATAGTGGACGTGCCTCACCCTCCGTTGTACTAAGGATTTGGTGGCATAAACTTCAATCAGGATAAGTCATTTCTTCTGTAAATACCTTTGACGTCTATGTTGTATGTTGAATTTTTATGTTTGTAAAACAAGTCATTAGGACTGCCTCTACTACGTCAATGGGACATGTTGCGTCGCAAAGTCAACTACCCCATCATTTTTCAGTGTTTATATTTATCATAATCTTGGTTTAAAATATTGATGCGTGGTAGTTAAAGTAACATATGGTTGGCCTTTGAATGTGAACTGATAGACATTATCTATTTAATATATGATCACCTTTCCATCACTGATTTCTATTCTAGACTAATTGGACATTGGCTGCTTCTAGTTATGTTACATAATGTCTAGTCTTATTAGTCGCAGTTTCTCACAATCACAGCCACTTTTTTGTCTTGATTTTGGTACAACTGTTATTTTCTATTTTATGGTGTGATATGGTCTGATGTTGCTTGTATATAAACCAAGTATGTTTGATTTATGTGATGTAATATGAATGGATGTGGACATTTACATTTTAGAGTGAATCGGCGTCTGGGTTAGACGAGGCTTCACGTATTGGTTTATGCATCATTGGTTTGATGAATAAGTCGGTGACTTTAATTGATGATCATATCGCGTGATATATTAACAGGGCACAAAGGTCACAAGTTATAACAAGGCTATATTTTAGTTCACCATTTTCGGTCGTGGATCTTGTATCTAGTATAACATGGTCCAGTTTGTTTATAGTGTACCGATCGACCATCCAGTCTAGTGTTAGTAAAATCTTGTTCACCGGTCCTATTAACGTATTACAGTAGTATGTTGTAAGAACAAGAAAACAAGTTTTATTTGACGGTTTTATTAAATATTTGGTACTATTGATTCAACTACCTAAGGTCTTGATATTTTACTTGGGAATTATCTGTGTATCAGTTAATAATAATCAACCTTTAACCTAGCATAGATCCAAATTATTCCAAGTTACCACACTGTGTTGTACTTTTAACTTATTCATCTCATCTACCGCAAGACACTCACATCTAAGAATTTTTTTATTGATTTTAACACATAGATATTGGTACAAGGAGGCACCAAATACATATGCGCCACACAAATATCATTCGATATGTGTGAGGGCTGTGATACTGCCCAGGTTCCCAAACCGAAGGAGGTGGTTATCTTAGTGGGCCACACCCCGAGCCTTTGACCTAAAGGTCTAACCCACAAGGCAGTGGAGCATCGTAAGGAGATGCAGTTCCATGGTAGCCGGTGACCAACAATTGGTTCATATGCCATTTGTTCCTTCAGGATACTGGAACCCATGTGCACCATTGATTTGGTTTGTGATCCGGTTAAAGCGTCGGACATTCGCTTTTTGTCCTCTCATTTTCGTAAACAACACTAATGCCACGAGAAGGCAATGAATAGGACTTCCCTGACAGAGGCTATATACATGTAGCCATGTGAGAGCCTTTCGAGAGAGGGAGGGCCCACCCCACTCTCGGCCATACCAGGGCATTTGGGGGCTGCATCTCATAATCATGAAGTAAAACTAAACCAACTGCTTAGCAGTATGTTGATGATGATATAATTTTGCAATAGACAAATGAAAATTAGCATTAAAATCACTTTGTATTTCTTTCTATTATATCACCACTAATTTATTTGCATATTTCACTTCATTCATTAACAAATTCATTTTAACATTCATATCTATCATTTAAGTTAAACCAAAGAGTTATATACAATTGTCTCAGCCTACTATTGAACATTTTATCATTATACTACATATCTAACTCTTTTCAGGCAAATAGAAGATTAAAATAATCACTCTGTAACAGTTAAATAAATTCAAATTTGACTATATTCTATACCGTCTCTCCCTCTCCTGTCAATCGGCATAACCCATTTTGGACTTCAATTTTTATTGATTACTCATTAGTTTTGTATTAATTTTATCATTATGATTGTGATTTACTACTCTCCCTCTCTCTCTCTTTGTCCCTACAATTTAAATGATTAAATAATGATTTGTTTCTTCTCATTATATCTCTGATATATTTTCATTGTTTTACAGTTAACATAAATTTACACTTCCTATACAAAGGTTTGTACATTATTGTTTGTGTGTGATTTTTACTGGTGTTATGTGTTCATGTTTGTAGCGTGTTCTCTTTCTTCTTTTTTTTTTTGCGGGTATGTATCATTTTGTTATTGTGTTTTACAACAATTAATTGGTAATTGTTTCTAGTGTATTCATGGTTTTTATTGTTTTGTATCAGAAGAGGTTTTGTGGAGATTGTAATAATTTCAACAGTTGAGATCATGAGTCAATCGAAGCTAGAAAACCATGAAAAACCTGGGAGCACTAGACGGCCGTTTCGTCCTATTGTGGGACTCCTCAGCAGTGCGCATCCACGACCCCGTCTCGCGGGATTCGAACCCAGGACCTATCAGTCTCACGCGCGAACGGTTAATTACTAGACCACAGAGCCAGCATCCAACGGTGTTAATGGCTAACTTCAATCAATCCGTAAAATTGAGCGACACATCCACCATTGTCATCAGTGGGTTACTAACTCACAAACGACCCGGTTAAACTCCACTGGTCACTGCTTCTCACTAGAACTCCAGGATATACCTCTTGAAGCCAGTCATTAGTGAGCATATGTTAATTAGTATCAGAAGGGGGTTTTGTGGAGGTTGTAGTAATTTCAACAGTTGTTTAGTTTTTTTCGCTCACTATGATGTTTCACGTTTTTTTGTCACGAGTGTTCTTTCATAGCTTACCCTCTGTTTGTTTTGCAAAATATTATCTCTCCGTATATATCAACTCAATGCAGTCGAGTTTTGCTTGACGTGATTGTTATTGTCAGTAATAAATGATTTTTCAGTTTAGAACAAAGTGTTTATCAAAACCATGTCGTGTCAGTACAATAGGTTCGTAAAGACCATTTGTTTTAAAAGTATTTTATTTCATGGATATACTTTGGTTAAACAATCAGTTAAAAAATGTGGAAAACTGGTCAACTGTTCACAAATTCATATTGTAGATGTATATCCCTTAAATGATTATGCTCAATTTCAAGGAATAACATATCTCTGTATCTGTCGAATAGTCATTTAGTTAGTCACTAGTATGCACTCATCCCGATCGTTGTTGCTACCTTGACGTGGTGGTCGGGTTTGCTTATTGTGATGAACCAACCGAGCTATACTGGCTGGAACAACCGTTCCTCAAGGTCCTACCATGTCAGACAGGTCGGTTGAAGAGCGGTAAGACTAAAAGCAAAAAACCCAAGGTCCGAAGGCGAAGTCGTACTTCTGACTGTACAGAGGTGTGACAGCAGTAAGGTGTTTCCTTCAGACAACCAGCATGACAGCGATGCTGCCTTTCCATAAGGAGGGGTGGGTTCAGAAAAGGTCGACCCTAAAAATACACACCTCGCCTTATCCGACGGATATCCGTCTCCAGCGGTAAGGTCTCAACACGTACGGAGCTAACACAAAAATCACCCATAAAAAGGTCGTGTGTGACCGACCTCAAGCAGTTGTCCCTTGGGCACTGCGGTCACGCTCCCAGGTCACTAAGACCACCTCTAATCCAATTTCCTTTTCAGGTACCTCCAGAAGAACCCTTCCACAGTTTGGGCAACCGGGAAGTGATAACCGCCCTCATACCTCTAACAGCACTCAAGACCACTGTATTCATAATCAATCTCCCTTTTCAATTCCTTGTAGCTAACTGAGTATGTACTCATCAACATCAGTCACCTATCATTTGGCCTATAATTGATATGTTTGATTAACAGTTTATATCAAATATCCAGACTTGAAGATTTCAAATCACTGATTAAAAAACGATTGTTCTCCACTTCACAATTGTAAAATTCATAAGACCAAATTTAGTCTACGTCATATTTGCACATTCTTGGTTTCTAATCGTTGTTTTTCTACTATCAAACATCTCATGAAAATAATCTTTAAATACTTTATATTCATGATCTCAACTATTGATATAACATTCATTAGCTTCGTGAGGGAATTCTCGGAGTTCTAGTGAGAAGCCGTGACCAGTGGAGCTAATCCTTGTCGGGTAGAGACAGTTATCTACTTAAGTACAATGGAAGTTGGTCGCGCAATTTCGTGGATTGGTTGATGTTAGAAACTATCACCATTGGATGCCGGCTCAGTGGTCCAGTTGGTTAAGCGTTCGCGTGCGAGACCAAAGACATTGGGTTCGAATCCCGCTCGCGGGATCGTGGATGTGCACTGCTGAGGAGTCCCACAATAGGACGAAACGGCCGTCCAGTGCTTCCAGGTTTTCAATTGTGATGGTCTAACATTAATTGGTTCAAGATCTCAATCAAAAACTTAATAATCTTCACAACCCCTATACTAGTATTCATTATTTGTTTGTTTGTTTGTTTTTTTTATATTTTGATATAGAAAAGCTCGTCAAAGTCCACCAGTCTTTTCATGATCTCATTTATCCATATGACATTATATAACAATACATTCTATAGAAGGTATAAAACAAAGGAGTAAACTATATTATTCATTATTATTCATTATTATTATTATTATTATTATTATTATTATTATTATTATTTTAAATGTTTATTGTGAATAAATGAGTCCTAATTGCTTGTTCTTTTAATCTTTAGGCTGTTGTTGTTTATTTGTTTATTATTAAAGAAAAACAAAACAATAACACATATCATTTATAATGTTTATTATTATTTATTATATATTTTTTAAATTTTTTTTTCTTTTTGGACAAGACAGAAAACCCTCACCAACCCCCTTCGTATTTTCAGTTGTTTCTAACTGGAAGTTTTTCTTTATTTTTTTTCTCTTTTTTTGTTATTTTATTTTTATCTGTAAAATTATTTAATGGATGTGTACACAATACTGTACTGTGAATAATAATAAATAATCAATGATTATAATAAAACAAAATGAGAGAGAAAAAAGAACAACACATATATCATACACTGTTGAAATTCAATTGCTTTATTATATTGTTTGTATCTATGTTAGAATGCCATATAGCTTATACAACATATATGTAGGATAGTAAACAAAATAGCCCAACCGGGTTTGAAATTTAGCTCTCAAATGCCTTGGCATGGCCGAGAACGGGATGGTTTCGCTATCCCTCTCGAACTACTCTCACATGGCCACGCGTATATAGCCTCTGTCAAGGAAGTCCTACTCATTGCCTTCTCGTGGCGGGGGTGTTGTTTACAAAAATGAGAGGACGAAAAGCGAATGTCCGGCGCTTTAACTGGATTCCAAATCAATGGTCCACATGGGCTCCAGTATCCTGCGGGAACAAATGGCGTATGAACCAATCGTTGGTCACCGGTTACCATCGGATTGCATCTCTTCACGATGCTCCACTGCCTTGTGGGTTAGACCTTTAGGTCAAAGGCTCGGGGTGTGGCCCACTAAGATAACCACCTGCTTCGGTTTGGGCACCTGGGCAGTATCACAACCCTCACACATATCGAATGAGATTTGTGTGGCGCATGTCTATTTGGTGTCTCCTTGTACCAATATCTATGTGTTAAAATAAATAAATAAAAATAAGTATTATTCAGGTTTATGAGTACTTTTAATTGATCACTTAATTAACTTTCATTGGTATGTTGTATAGTACATAAAGTGTAACTATCTTTGTTGATGACGTTCCAAGTGGAAGATCGTTGGTTCAAATGGCGAGACCAATCAGAGAACGGTTAGTGTAGAGTAAAAATATATTATACAAAATCAAAGAATTAAAGTAAATACACTTCTTATAAATGGTTCAAAAACTTGTTAAGGTTCTAAAATCGTAATAGATACGATAGTAGAAATCATCTATATGGCTTCATAATAGTCGGTCTTTGGAGCTACCTATGATAAAGTCACAAAAACTTATTCAGCCAAATAGCTTCAGTATTGTTTGTGTGCACTCCGGTGGTTGGGCCCAGAAAATACCACTTGTGGATAAGGACAAGATATACATAAAGAAGTCAATGTAGCCATCAGTACGTATATATTGTGGTACAGGGTGTAGTGAACAAGAACACGGGTGGGGACAATCGATTGTATTTAGCACAAAAATTACAGACTGTCTCAATAAAATGTGAATACCATAAAGTCAATCGTCAATTTGCAAAATATCATTCCATCATATGAAACTGTACTGTTCCCGTTGCAAACACTAATCCATTGTCTCCCATTCCATTGTACATGCGTTTTCTTACAATTCCATTGTGCTCTTGCTCTTCCTTTCTTGATCTTCGCCATCTTCTGCTGCCGGACATTACGTTCTTTTAACGCACGTTATATACTACTTATATGAATATAAGTAGCTCACACCACACAGGGTAGCAGCCAGTGTTACTGTTGCTTTTATTATTCAGTTCGCAACATGTCATAATTTGCCTTAGTCTCAATCTGGATCGAGCGAAAAAAATCCTATTCTAGCGGACTTCTTCCTCCAACACATATTAAATCTAAAAACAACCTCATCACGGTAGTCTACACAAAGTCCACAAGTTATTTGATTACCACAATCACAAATAAAGGAACTTTTTAGTAGTCCTACTTGTTTGTGGCCTACGGTCCAGCTCGCTAGATTCGAACTCGTGATCTTCGGTCTCGCACTCGAATTTTTAAACTCTACAGCACTGAGCATCTATCGTGATTGTCTTTTCCATTAATAGAATTAACCTCCAACTTTATGGTGCTAAAGAAAGCCAAATATTGCTCAATAGCGTCCACTTATCATTTAGGATAGCTCTGACTAGCCCAGTGTAGTAGTGATGACTTGCTTAGGAGTTTTTTTAATTATAGTGATAATGAAGGAGTTGTATCAATTATTCGGTCCAAAATTATACAGTATACACTGGATGGATTCATAATAAAGTGTTCTGTCCGAATAAAGATTAAATAATGAGAAACTTCTGAAAACTATTCTTATTATACAACTGTATTGTGCCCCAAAATGTCCTGGTACGGCCGAGGGTGGGGAGAATCCGCTCTTACTCTCGAAATGCTCTCACATGGCCACGCGCATATAGCCCCTGCGATGCAAGTCCTACACACTCCATTCTCGCGGCAATACTGTTGTTTACGAAATTGAGAAGACGAAAAGCGAATATCCGGCGCTTTAACCGGGTTGGTGGACTTGGAGAGTCCATATTTTTCTGTTATACAATTTACTATTCTGATTCTATTAGTTTCAGTTTCTCACAATCTCAGCCACTTTTTGGTCTTGATCTTGGCACAACTGTTATTTTCTATTTTATGGTGTGATATGGTCTGATGTTGCTTGTATATAAGCCAAGTATGTTTGATTTATATGATTCAATATGAATGGATGTGGACATTTACATTTTAGAGTGAATCGGCGTCTGAATAGACGATGGAGACAAATGTAGAACATACAGCTATTTATTTATTTGAACACAAATATTGGTACAAAGGGCCACTGAATACATATGCGCTACACAAGTCATTTGATTTGTGTGTGAACTGTGATACTTCCCGTGTGCCCAAGGGCATCATCCAGAACCTTCGATCTAAAGGTCTGATCCACAAGGCTGTGGAGCAATGTCAGGACCTGCAGTCCCATGGTAGCCGGTGACCAACAATAGGTTCATATGCCATTTGTTTTCTTAAGATCCTGGATCCAATATGAACCGTTGTTATGGAATGAGGCTTTTCCAAATCCATCATGTAGACTCTGTGTCCACCAACCCGGTTAAAGTATCATATTCTCAATTTCATAAATAACAGTAATGTCTCGAGAAGGCAGTGAGTAGGACTTCCCTGGCAATAGTTGTATACATGTGAGAACATTTCGAGAGGGAGAGCTGATTCTCCTCAGAGGAGGCAAGAACGAGATATGCGCCACACAATTCTCTTAATTTGTGTGAGGGCTGTGATACTGCCCGGATGCCCAAACCGAAGCAGGTGATTTTCTTAAGGTGACACACCTGAAGCCTTCGACCTAAAGGTCTGATCTACAAGGCAGTGGATCAACGTAAGGAGATGCAATCCCATGGTAATCAGTGACCAACGATTGGTTCATACGCCCATTATTGGTTTGGAATCAGGATCTTCCAACTCCTCTAGATGGACTCTCCATATCCAATCCTCTTAATTTCGTAAACAACATCCACGCGATGAGTAGGCAATGAGTAGAACTTCCCTGGCAGTGACTGCATACGCGTGTCTATATGAGAGTGACAGAAGACTCTCCCCACTCTCGGCCATACCAGGGCATTTGGTGGCCTACAAAATTCAATAATGATTTTGCATTTTATATGTATTCAAACAATGTTTAATTTGTGTTGAATAATCATTTTCGTTTCATTAAATTACTTTTATTTCACTAATTGTTATTTTGTCTCCTGATGTTGTGATCTTGTGTCAATTTTTCAAATATGTAACTATCAATAAGTTGACTGATCATTATTACAGTATAATTTGTCTGTTATAACGATTATATGGAAGATTTTAAAAAATTTTCTCGATTGAATTTTCGTTTACATTTTTTCACATGTGATTGACATAAATATGAAGACAACTTGTATACTTTCCTAGGTAACTAACGAAGACAAAGAAGGTTAATACCTTGTCCATTTCCTGAACTATAAATCTTTTCTACCATCATGATATTGATTGATTTTTCTTATTAAGTTTGTCGATAAGGTTCATGACTAAGTTCATAACACTGATTAAATTAAAACAATCTACAAACTGACTATTTGATTGATAATGTCATGTGTGATACTGATGTCAACCGATATAAGTAGTATGTATCACCAATCGAAAGCGTCTGGTTATTATTATTATTTGTAATGATAATAATCTGAGTCAATTGTTTGTTTTTCAAAGCGAGAAAGGTAATTTTCATAGGCATAAAGAGTTCATCAGTGTATGTGTGGGCTGTGATACTGCCCGGGTGCCCAAACCGAAGCAGGTGGTTATCTTAGGGGGCCACTCCCCGAGCCTTTGACCTAAAGGTCTAACCCACAAGGCAGTGGAGCATCGTAAGGAGATGCATTCCCATGGTAGCCGGTGACCAACGATTGGTTCATACGCCATTCGTTCCCGCAGGATACTGGAGCCCATGTGCACCATTGATTTGGTTTGTGATCCGGTTAAAGCGCCGGACATTCGCTTTTTGTCCTCTCATTTTCGTAAACAACACTAATGCCACGAGAAGGCAATGAGTAGGTCTTCCCTGGCAGAGGCTGTATACGCGTGGCCGTGTGAGAGTATTTCGAGAGGGAGAGTGGACTCTCCCCACTTTCGGCCGTACCAGGGCATTCAGGGGCAGAAGGTTAAGAAAAGAGAATGATTGATATAGTAGTAGTACAACGATTTCATTTCACTTGAGATAATGTCTGATTTAAAGTGGTATTTCGTTTTTCATGTATTCCTTATGATCAGCATGGATGTTTGTGCAGATTGTAGTAATTTTAATAGTTGAATTCATTAGTCAATGTAAGTTAGACCACCATTGAAAACTAAGAAGCACTGCTCGGGGTATATGTATTTCGTGTCTCCCTGTACCATTGTTTATGTGTTAAAATAGATAAATCTTTCAAAATCTAGGGGAAAACAAAGAGTGAATGTACCTGTGTCGTTAAAACCGGATAATAAGTCATGTCACCCACCATCAATCATTAAACACTGTAATCGTGCGGACCCTAACTTGATAATCTTCATCTACTAACACAACCTAGTTTAACAGTTAATGTCCTCATTAATTGGGGCTCTCAGCTTTCTCACTAACTTATCAACGTATAGTGTGACAGATAAGTAGTCTTTAAACAAGAAACTTCAATATCATCTTACTTAGCTTGGTGAAATCACACTTTTCGTATATTCTCCTCAGTTTGACATCACAACTTTAGATCAATTGACCATTAGTTCGTGATCAAAGCCAGATTCATACGTAAAATGTGAGATCTGAATAAGATATTCTTCTCAAGTAAGTTCG